TATATGGAGTATTATTTACATGTATGTCTGCTGGAAAATTACTACGTAGAAGAATTCATGGAGCAACAAAGTGCACTCTCAATAATCTTATACTTTTCAGCAAAGTTCTTTGTCATAAACTATTATAATAACTTTATTATTGGGTTCATATACTATTTACTTCTCGTTAGTTCTGTTACCGGTCATGTACCGAAGGGCTCGTTATATCTTGGGGGAAATTTCCGTAAGCCGGAAATAATTCCTTAGGACAGCGTCTGACGCTTCTCGAGCCACTAATATACTGTTAGTTCCTTTTAATGATTATTTTGCAGGTTAATTCTTGGAGCTAGATAGTCAACAAGATCAATTCAAGAACAAAACGGTCAACACGTTGATTTTGGAAGGATAGAGCCTACAGCATATTGCAGAAAATATGGCATTCGACATGAGAAGTCAGTACCACGCACCCCTCAGCACAACGGCGTTGCTGAAAGAATGAACCGGACTATCATGGAGCGTGTTCGGAGCATGCTGAATATGGCTAAACTTCCGAAGTCATTCTGGGGAGAAGCAGTCAACACCGCATGCTATCTTATCAACCGATCACCTTCAGTACCACTGAACTTTGAAGTTCCAGAGAGGCTATGGACAGGTAAGGATCCTACATACTCACATCTTAGAGTATTTGGTTTTTCATCATATGCACATGTATCCAAAGAGCTCAGGCAGAAGCTCGATGCAAGAACTATCCCATGCATTTTCGTTGGCTATGGAAATGAAGAGTTCGGATACAGGTTATGGGATCCTAAGGAGAAAAAGGTGTTCAGAAGTCGGGGCGTTGTGTTCCACGAAGATTTGACAATAGAAGACATTGAAAACCCCACAATGTCTCGGAAGTCAAATGATGGTGCTAGAGTTTCAAATGAAGCACCAGAAGAAGACAAAGTGCAGGAAGATAACTCAGACGCAGAAGGAGACGAGGAGACAGAGGAGAGTGCAGAGCAAGGGGAGACACAACCCACCTCGTCAGACACAGATGATGGTAGCTCTTCTCAGATGGTTCCTACTGTTCATAGATCTGAACGAGGTCATATACCATCGACAAGGTACACATCATCTGAATATCTTTTGTTAACTGAAGATGGAGAACTAGAGAGTTTTCAAGAAGCTATATCTCATAAGGATAAAGAAAAATGGCTTATAACAATGCAGGATGAGTTAGAATCTCTGCAGAAAAATCAAACCTATGAGATCGTAGAACTTCCCAAAGGGAAGAAAGCTATGAGGAACAAATGGGTGTTCAAGCTGAAGAAGGATGCAAACAGACAAGTGGTGAAACACAAAGCTCGGTTGGTGGTCAAAGGGTTCCAACAGAAGAAAGGAATTGACTTTGATGAGATCTTTGCACCAGTTGTCAAGATGACCTCAATCCGAGTTATACTTGACTTGGCAGCAAGTATGAACTTGAAGCTTGAATAGATGGATGTGAAGACAGCATTTCTTCAAGGAGATTTGAAAGAAGAAATCTATTTGTATGGCTTGAAGCAGGCACCAAGGCAATGGAATAAGAAGTTTGACTCATGTATGAAGAGTCAAGGCTACAAGAAGACTACTGTGGATGAGTGTGTATACATCAAGAAACTTTCAGACGGTACTTTTATTGCTCTTCTACTATATGTAGACGACATGTTGATCGTTGGAAAAGATGCAGTGAAGTTAAACCAGCTGAAGAAAGAACTCTCTAAGTCTTTTGATATGAAAGACTTAGGACCGGCTCAACTGATTCTTGGGATGCAGATCACTCGAGACAGGAAGAATCGCAAGTTATGGCTATCTCAGGAGAAGTACATTGAACGAGTACTTGAGAGATTCAACATGAATGATGCCAAACCAGTAAGTGTTCCACTTGCGAATCACTTCAAGTTGAGCAAAAGAACATGCCCTACATCCAAGGAAGAGATCGGGGAGATGTCAACAGTTCCATATTCTTCAGTAGTTGGGAGTTTGATGTACGCTATGGTATGCACAAGGCCAGACATCGCACAGGCAGTGGGTACAGTGAGTCGTTTTCTCTCTAACCCCGGGAAGGAGCATTGGGAGGCAGTCAAATGGATTCTCAGGTACTTGAAAGGTACCACGAAGTTATGTCTTTGTTACGGAGGAACTAATCCAGTCTTGGAAGGCTACACAGATGCTGATATGGCCGGAGATACTGATAGTAGAAAGTCTACTTCAGGATATATTTACACTTTTGCAGGGGGAGCCGTTTCTTGGCAATCAAGATTGCAGAAGTGTGTCGCTTTATTTACAACAGAAGCAGAATACATTGCTGCCGCTGAAGCAGGTAAGGAAATGTTGTGGCTAAAGTGCTTTCTTCAAGAACTTGGGATCCAGCAAAAAGAGTATAAGATACATTGTGACAGTCAGAGTGCTCTAGACTTGAGCAAGAACTCCATGTACCATTCTCGTACAAAGCATATTGACATTCGGTATCACTGGATACGGGAGACGATTGATCAACAACTGTTGAGACTAGTGAAGATCAATACAAAGGAGAATCCATCAGACATGCTGACAAGGGTGGTGACACGAGATAAGCTAGAGCTGTGCAGAGACATAATCGGGATGCTTGTTTTGAATATGCCAGGAAGGGGAGAATTGAAGAATTCAATTTCCAGGTCATATCCAAGTACAAGCAAATTGAAGAATCCAATTCATAGCTTCCATGAAGCTTCCTCCATGTGCAAGAATGACAAGGGGAGCTTCCTCAACCACCATTGAAGCTTCCTCATGTTCCATTGAAGCTTCCTCCTAACTTCAACACATCTTCCTCCCACCTTCATACTACCTTGTTTTGGTACTATAAATCGAGAACTTGGAGAGTCTTTCTATCATCAAACAATTTAGATCAAGTAAATTAGAATAGACCATCATAGCACAACCAAGAAGAGTTGTGAATATACTTGAGAGATATGTGAGGTGTTGTTTTGAGAGTTTTTAGTTAGAGCTTGTATGTCTCTTCTTTCTATTCTTGAAAGTAATAGAAGTGTTTTTATCTCATATTAGCACGATCCTGTTATTCCCAACAATTTAAACTCGGGATTTTTATCTGGTTAAACTAACACCGGCTGAGAATATTGTAAAGAAATCGAAGACCTCTGCAATATACGGCAATTTATACCGTACACCCGGGTGTACAGGTACACCCAGGTATTTTTGAAATTCTCCGTAATTTGGATGGCAATTTAGTTCTTTGCGGTGTGTATTCTTCCGGCGCCAATCTTACCTGCGTGCTCTTTCCTTCATACGTCGATCTCTGTTTTCATCCCTCCACATTCTTTTGTTTTTTCCTTTTACCAATCATTCCTAAATCCCTATAGGGAAGCGTGTAAATAAAGTCCTGTGGAAACCAGATGGCCGGCCGACGATATTGAACAACCGACTCCACCTTTTAACTTTGTTTGCTTTTTGTTGACGGCCAGCGGTGTGAAATATTGTTGTTGTTCCAAATTGACGTTGTTTGCCTTTTTTTCTTTTTCTAATTAATCTTCATTTATAATTTAAGTATTTTTTTTTTAAAATTGTGCATTATAAAATATTTTAGGTATCAATGGTGTGTTCTATTTTAACTTTGAGATGATTTTTTTTTAAATTAATATTTGTGTGTTCATTATTTTAATATTGTGTGCTCATTATTAACAAGAGTTTTGTGTTATACTGAAATGAGCATAGTGTAAAAATTAAATGTGCATGAGTAAACATTATTAAAAGAATATGATTAGTTTTGTAATTCAAGAATGACAAATTATAAATTATTTTGAAACTAAAATATTTTAATGAGCTTTTGAATTTTTCAATGCCCATTTTATAAAATATGTATACACATTCGGGACTGCTGTTATGCTCATTTTAAAATGTCATATCAATGCTTATGAAACTAACGCTCAACAGAATAAGTATCATGCTCATTAAAAGTGTATTAATGTTCATTTAACACCATTATTTCCATCTCAATAGAGGAGATTTGATGCTCAATGAAAATATCGTAATGTTCAACTAACAAACCAACTAACAAATTCATTAATGGCCTTAATGCTCAATTTTTACGTTACGTATGCTCATCTTGTACTGATCATATGCTCATATATTAGACTCCTAATACTCAACATAATAGGTCGGATGATGCTCATTAAGAGTTCATTCATGCTCATTCACAAGAATCTGATTTTTATCTCAATAGCTGATGTTTGAAGCTCAATTAAAATGTCATGATGTTCAACTAACAAAACCTTATAATTTTCATATCAGTGTACACTTTGTAAGTTATGTATGCTCATTTGGTACTGATGTAATGCTCATTTTTACAATGTCATATCAATGCATATTTCAAAAGTATCATATTATATTAGACTCGCATATTGAAATTAATAAGAGTTGATTATAGCTATAATTTAATAAGTTTTCATAAAAGAAAAAATAAGAAAAAGAAAAAGAATTAGAAGATATGAACCAGAGATCGTGATACTCATTTTTAGCCTCCTAATACTCAATAAAATAGATCAGATGCTCACTAAAGTTACACTATTGCTCATTTAGCGTAAGCCGTGGTTTTTCACTTATATTACAAAATTGCCACCGAAAAAAAATTGGCCTGTATTGGTTGCTGGGCTGTCATCCTTAGTTGGGCCGGGTGTATGATATAGGCTCTCGCAATATACTGCGTCCTTCGTATTTAGAATTAGAATAAATGCTCATCCGCGGTGACGCTAACGCCTTCTCTATCGAAACAACAAACCTCTTCTTCTGGTTTTGCTCCAAATTATCATGTAAATACTTATTACTATACCAACCCTTCGTCCTCTTCTATATAGCAGTGTGATCAGTCATAAGTTTATGGAAGATTATTAATTAGCTAACATGGAAGAATCATTGTATTTGCTAAATTAGGATCATGGTCTATATTCACATTTAACTAACCGGTGGATTATTCCCTCCCACTCCGAATATATTATTTTTTTCAGTTGCTGAAGATTCTGGACGACGGAGTGCAGACAGAGGGAAAACGGCCCAGAAATGCAGTTTTTTCTACAGCTACCAGTTTTGATTTTGGTGCTTGATGGAAAGTTAAACTACCAAAATTTGGCACGCAGTTCCTGACTTCCCAATCTTCTTATCCAACGGCTGGATTTTCGTTGCAAGCTTCATAAGTAGGTATTTTGTGTTCTGCTCTAGCTAATCTTGAAAAGTGTTGGGTTCATCACTTATGAGTCATGTTTATGGTGATCCGTTGTTCCCGGGGTGCTCCTTATTATTTGTATGCAGGCCCGTCTCTAGCTAGCAGTTTTGATGCCCCAGACAAAAATGACAAATGAGATCAAATAGTACTTAAAATTCATAACAGAATTAAATATGAAGTCATTGGAAAATTACTACGTGTAACACTACTTTTAGTAAAAGGTAATACTTGACATAAAATTGGTACAGAGTATAAAGTATGTTAAAATATGAATTCTTCTAAGAAATAAATAATACTCCCTCCGTTCTCTAATAGATGGGAGTATAGGCTTTGGCACAAGATTTAAGATGAAATTAATAGGGGTAGTATAAAAGGTGTAATGAGTTGTGTGTAAAGAAAAAAGTAGGAAAAAGAATGAAAAAGTAGGAAAGAGAATGAGGGTAAATGAGTATATTTATTGAAAAAATTTACCAAGTGTGGAAAGGGAGACAACTAATAGAGAACATCACAAAATGGAAAGAGGGTCAAGTATTAGAGAACGGAGAGAGTAGTATAAAAGTAGTACCTAATAACTTATTCATCTTGCCTTTTGATGTGCAAAATTTGTAAGGACGCCACTACAATCAAGAGTAGATAACACTCTTTCTTCTATGGATAGCGTACACACTAAAAAATAATTGCATCATCTCCTGACTCTTGTTTTCGTTTCCCCGTCACAGTACACGCTACTCCCTCCGTCCCCCTAAGTTTGGGACGGAGGGGTGTGGTGTGGTTTTTAAGAAAAAGTGGAATTATGTGGTTGGTATTGAATTGATAAAGTGTAAATAAAGTAAGAATGAATTCTAACCACTCAAATGTTACCAAATATGGTATGGGACAAACTTAGTGGGACGGACGAAAAAGGTAAAACGGGACAAACTTAAGGGGACGGAGGGAGTATATAATAATAATTTAGCACTAATTAATTCTTTTACGAGTTAGTAAATATGTAAATACTAGGGGTGGGTTCGGTTCTTGCGGTTCGGTTTTGACCTAAAACCAAATATAGAATCAAAGTAAAAAGTTCGGTTCGGTTTCGGTTCGGTTTTACACTCCAAAACTTGGAATTACGGTTTGATTGGTTCGGTTTGTTTCGATTCGGTTTCGGTTTTTTCGGTTATTTACCAAAAAATTATCATTTGATTTAAAATTGATATAATACTTTGAGAGATCAAACATATTACACAAAGAATGCAAACACACTACAAAAAATAAAATAAAAATGAAAATAAATAAATATGTCTTGAATTATATGAGTATGCGAGAGAGATAAAAGTATATATTATTATTAATTTACATTGTTTGTGACTAGTTCAAAAAAAGTTCAAGAGTATATACGTTCTATGTGATATAGTTGAGGCATATTTATTATTTCATCAATATGAATTCTTTAAGTTAAATAAAAATAAAAGTTAATTAAAAATAATAACTAGTAAAAACATATTATCATCATTCAAGTATATATAGTTACATTATCACAGACAACGAATGTGTAAATGAATTTATAAACTAAATTAAACTAAACATAACACAAACATTATTTCTCTAGCACATGAAAACCAAAGACTATTAATGATATTAGGATTTGTTGGGAATCGGGATTAATGCTTAACAATTGACAAAAATTTTTTATATTTTAATTAGTTCGGTTTGTTCGGTTCGGTTCGGTTTTGAAGGGTAAAAACCAAAACTGAATCAAACAACTACGGTTCGGTTCGGTTTTTTACATTCGGTTTCGGTTTGTTAGCGGTTCGGTTTTATTAGGCTACGGTTCGGTATAATTTGATTCGGTTTTCGGTTTTCGATTTTTCGGACCCAGCCCTAGTAAATACCATTTAAAAAGAAAAAATTTCAGAATGGATTTGATAAGTGAATAATTTCAAAAAAATTAGAAAAAATATATAACCCAAATTTTCATTTTAATACAATTAAGAAATACATAGTAATATCTAATAAATTGATTGTAGAATAACTCATTTACGAATTTCAATTTCTAGTTTCTACAGAAAATCGAAATTGTCAATTATGAATTGCAGAAGAATTGAAGAAATTAGAAATAAAAATTTCAAATATAATGAATTAGTTAATCTTAGCTGTAAAAAATATATTGGAGAATGAATGGCGGGTTGACTAGAGCTATTCAGTATTTTGGATTCTACATAATCCGAGGTACTATAATTGTTGCCTCCGTAATCCGTAAACGTACTAGGTACCTAGGGTAATAGATTAGGTGTCTTTGGAAGAACTTAAAAAAACGTTTCTCCACTTTTAGTTTAAAAATGTTAAAATTAATTTTTTAAAATAACAACTTCTACTTACAAAAGTGTTTCCCGGTTTTTGCCTGAAAGGTGCTTTTTACTTTGTCTATTATACAAAAAACACATATTTTACCAAAACTACCTGCTTTTACCTTTCAAAATCATTTTTTTCTCAAACAATATCAATTTTTACTACTAATCATTTTTTTCAAAATCACTTAAAAAAATGTTTTTTAAGCAAAAATATTTGCAAACACTCCCTAATTAATAGATATTAGATTTAGTTACTCCGTTTTTAGACTATACATGATTCCTAATTCCTACGGAGTATTTGGCATTTGTGTCATCTAGCCAGAGGGCCAGGCTAACGTATGTTTGTCAGGATTATTTATCTTATTTGATTCAATTACTCCGTATTTTGCTACCATACAGATTAGCCGCAGGCCGCTACTGGAATTGGGGTCATCCGATCTTGTAGTCATCTACCGAGTATTTAATTAATATATTAATATTAATATATTAATATATATAACACTAGTTTATTTTTTTAAAATGGTGCCCCATCCAAAGTGGTGCCCTAGGCTTTTGCCTAGGTGCCTGCCACCTATCACCGGCTCTGTTTGTATGTGCTCTAGTATTATCTAGAGAAGCCATTTGGAGCCCGTCTCGCGGTCGCATCTCCTGACTCCTGCTTATCAGTTTATCAACCAACATTTTTACCATACACGTAATTTTTTATTTCGCACATTGAATTGTGTAATACTACGTAATTGAAATAAGTAAGGTTAGAGTTACTTTTCTGACTGAAGTTCTCGGAGAAGACTATTTTAGCTACTTTTCATATATTTAAAATATATTTTAAACATTATTCTTGCATAATTTAGCAAATTCAGCCATTTCAGTCACAATTTCATGAACTTTAGCAATCAATTCAGCCAATTTTAGTGTTACCAAATGGTCTCTTCATGTACTTGCTTATTTCAGTGGTGATGAGTAGAAGTGTTTGGTACTGGTTTCGAGTCCTTATTTTCTGCCATTTTGAGGTGTCCACGTAAATTGGTCTGTTATTTATTGTTTGTGCGCGGATCATATTTTGGTTGGTTTGTTTTGAATATATATTGTGTTGAGATTTATATTATTTGCCTGTTTGATAACCTTTAGAAAAGTGTGTATTTCCCGTCTCACTAATTCAAGATACAAAGCACATTTTACACTTCTAGGGTCTGTTAATTGATCTTTGATGGAAAATTGTGCAAAAGTCCATCACTTAATGGCAAGAAGAATTGTTTTAAATTACACCATAGCAAGGTTTATTTTTTGGCAGTGGACATAGAGGTTGGAGCTACTATCGGTGATAGTTCTGCTTATACAGAAAGGAAATCATCTTCTTGTGAAGAAGACAATACATGTCAAGTGCCATATGTGGGAATGGTGTTTGATTCTGAATATGCTGCCAGGGAGTTTTATGGCAAGTATGCTAGGCGTTCTGGATTTCGAATGCGTATTGATCAGTCTGGGCGCTCGACAGTGGACATGAGAATTCTTTCGAGGAGGTTTTCTTGTAACAAGCAGGGTTATTGTCAGACAAAGAAAGATCAGGTTTGTTCAGGAAAGAGGTTACGGAGCAGCACACGAGAAGGTTGCAAAGCAATGATGCGGGTGAATGTTAATAAGGCTGGAAAATGGGTTGTTACCAGATCAGTGAATGAGCATACTCATCCTTTGGATGTCCCTAGTCTTTCTTCTCTTAATGGAATGGTCAGTTTACTTCTGCTTTTCCCTTTTAAATACATATCTCCCCCCATAAACTTCTCTATCAAGAATGGTATGATCCTGATTGTGAATCCAATTATGGCCCCTTCAGTAAGATGTCTTTAGCTGAAATGGCTGAATTGTCTGAATGAAATAGTGTTTATTAACATCCATTTGACCAAGAAAAAATGCAAATCAAAAGCTGGGTGATAAGCCGAAGTTTACTACTAAACGGATCCTTATTTAATTCTTGAATAGTTATTTCAGTATCGTACTCGATCATAAGTCATAACATCTCTTGGAAATCAATTAGTTCTTCAAGTTGTAGCTTTGTTTTTTACTGGTACTGGGGTATTCGGGGAAGCAAAGCTATCGCCTTATTGCTCAAGTGCTTCTTGATCACTAAGCATTTTTGCTTTTATAATCATTAAGTTTATGTAGAATAAAGGAATCAAAATCTTTATTGTATTTGTTCATTACCAACTTAGCTTCAAATAAATCTAACTAAAGTGATTGTTTTCCGTATTTGTAATAAAAAAAATATTGCAGGACAAAAAAGATCAAAGGATAGAGGAATTGACTATGGAGTTGGACCATCAGGATAAGCTCTGCGAGTTGTACAGAGACCAGCTAACTACATTGTTGAAGTATATTGGGGAGCAGATTGAGCATTTAACTGGAAAAGGTGACGCAGTTGCTGACAATGTAAAGAGAGTTGAAAGTGATAAGCTTGAGCTACCTACTCAATAATCCAAAGTGTGTATATATAACAAATACGGAGTAACAAATAAGAATTTGGTTCAAATGGGAATATGATCTCAGGAGAGACAAATAAGAATTTGCTTCACATGAGAATATGATTGAGAAATGAAAAATGCAGTGACATTTTTGTAAATAAAGTGAACTTTGTATGTTATTGGGTAAAATGCGATTAACTTAATTAGAAATATGCACCGTTTTGCATGATTATCAGTTTTCACGGGAAGAACTTTTCTCACCAGAACCAGACTTTAAAAAACAATTGGTAGACCAATGCCTTAGTGGTAACTCATCATCACCTACACTAGGGTAAGTAATAGACTAGGGCCATTTATGTACTTTACACATTATTTACTATTATAAATAAACCTGTCAGGGCTCCTAAAGGGGTAACCTGTTCCATTATCTCACATGGTATCAAGAGCTAGGGAAACCTAATTTTTTTTCTCTCCCAGCCGATATTCTTTTCCGGATCGCAGCCTCCATGGCCTCAGTCGCAGCCTTCGACTCCTCCAATTCGCCTTCAGTCTCGGCTAGCGCAGGTCAAAGCTCTCCGGTCATGGTCTCCTCCACTGGCGCGTCTTCTCCGTTTGGAACGCAGCAACCGGTCATCATGCCAGGAACAGCGGCTCAGTCGGCTTCATCCTTTTCTTCGCCGACCCGGGGCTTGTCTTCCTCGTCCCTGTTTCAGAACATGCCGCCTATCTTCACCTGGTCTGCCCCTCATTCTGCCTCACAGTTCACTCTGGACCCGCCGCCCTCTTTCTCCATGCCGATGACTCTGCCGCAGACCCTCTCCACCGCACCGGCAGTCACGTTCTCAGGCCCTACGTTTGTTGGGTCTCCGGGTGTCTCTTCCATGCTTCCAGCACAAAGGGCAGTAACTTCTCCGGTTATCTCGACTCCAATGGCAACACTGGCTCAGACCGTATCTCATGTTGCGACCAATGTTACTAATATAGTAACCACCCGATTACAGGCAGTGGAGGATTACAGTACATGGCGCACACAATTTGAGTCTTTTCTTGTTTCTCAGGGCCTTCTCGGCATGGTGGATGGCACTATTCAGGTACCTTCTCCTCATTCCATAGATGTCTCCAATCGTCCAATTCCCAATCCCGAGTATTCCTCTTGGCTTCGTATTGATCAAACTATTCGCTCTTGGATTTTTGCTACCTTGTCTCGTGATGTTTTGATTGATGTTCGTGATTTGAAACATTCTTTTGGGATTTGGGAACGATTGGAGTCTAGATTTATGTCTGCCAGTTTAGCCAGGTCTATGGAATTGAGACACATGCTGAACACTATTAAGAAAAAGCCTGATCAGTCTATGGATAGCTATTTGCGTGAGGTTAAAATTTTGGTTGATGACCTTGCATGTATTAATTGTCCTGTTTCTCATCTTGATATGCTTAAATCCATTATCATGGGGTTAGGGAAAGATTATGCTTCTATGATCAATACTGTGACTATGTTTCCTCAAAATTTCCCTTATGAGACTCTCCGGAATCACCTTATTGAAATTGAGCAACGGGACCGTTTTTTTCAACAACAAGAAGCTTTGGCTTCTCATCAGGCTTTTGTAGCACCAGTTCAGCCGCAGCCAGGCGTTCAGCGCCCTCCTACTCCCGCTGGCCGAAGCCGTGGTGGCAGAGGCCACGGCACACGTGGCCGTGGGGGACGAGGCCGTGGCCGGTACCAGCAGCACTATGGGCAACACTCCGGGCAGCAAGCTTCTTATGGTCCATCCGGGCAGTTCTACGGTGGTGGTGCCTCAGTTGCTGTTCCGGGTACTCATGCAGGGGGTGCTCAGTCTCAGCATAATAACACTACAGGTACTGTCATTAGTAAATCTACCGTGTCACATTTAAATATGCATGCCTTACCTGTTTCTACTACTAACGTTGGATCTGCAGGCTTTCCTTCAGACGGGGGTATTCTGGGCTCTGCCCCTCCTCCCATTGTGTGTCAGATTTGTTTCTCTACAGGTCACTCAGCCATTGCATGTCCTTCCCGCTTCTCACAACCGTCTGCGCCTGCCTTGTTGACCACGCCAGGGGAAACTAATCCTGCTTTATGGTACCCTGATTCTGGGGCTTCTGCCCACATGACGCCATCTAAAGGTATTTTATTTAATAAATCTGCTTGCTCTGGCTCTATTAGTGTTGCCAACGGTGATCAATTATCTATTAGTAATGTTGGTAATGTGCTCCTACCCTCGTCTGGCCGCTCTTTAATGTTAAAATCTGTCTATCATGTACCTCAGTTAAAATTTAATTTAATTTCTATTCAAAGATTATGTGCTGATAATAATTGTGTTGTCATTTTTGATAAAAATTCATTTTTTGTTAAGGACAAACACACGGGAACAGTTCTTCTGCAAGCTTCCAGTAGTGGGCCTCTTTACCCTTTCAGCCTGCCGTCATCTTCTCCCCTAGCATTAGCGTCTGTTTCTGCTCCTGGTCCAGTTTGGCATCATAGATTAGGTCACTGTGGTGACAAAATTTTACATCTTCTTAAAACAAATAAATTTCTCTGTAATAGCTCTAGTTTTATTCATGACTGTGTTGCTTGTCGCCTTGGAAAATCTCAACGTTTGCCCTTTTCTGATGCTAGTCACATGTGTACTTTGCCTTTACAAATTATTCATTCTGATGTGTGGCAATCTCCTATTTTATCCAACTTGGGATTTAAATATTATGTGTTGTTTATTGATGATTTTTCTCGCTATACGTGGATTTATCCTATGTGCCGGAAAAATGAGGTTTTTCACCACTTTAAAAATTTTAAGCTTTTGGTTGAAATTTTTTTTAATCAGAAAATTAAAATTTTTCAAAGTGATGGAGGGGGTGAATTTGTTAATCGTGATATGCAAACTTTTTTTTATGCTCAAGGCATTTATTTTCAAAAATCTTGTCCTGATACACCTCAGCAGAATGGGGTTGCTGAGCGAAAACACCGTCATCTCCTTGAATTGACACGCATCATGCTTCTTGAAGCATGCATTCCGAGTCACTTCTGGGTTGATGCTCTTTATACTGCTGCCTACATTATTAACAGATTACCTTCTCCCCTCCTAAATGGTTTGTCTCCCTTTCAAAAATTATTTCAAAAGGCACCGGATTATTCATTTATGCGCGTTTTTGGCACCGCATGTTATCCCAATTTTTCAGCCACTTCTTCAAATAAACTTTCTTCTCGGTCAGTCCAATGTGTTTTTCTTGGCTATGCATCCGGATATAAGGGCTATCGGTGTTATGATCCAAGTACACGTCGAGTATATATTAGTCGCCATGTTCGCTTCCATGAGAATATTTATCCCTTCTACTCCATTAGGAACTCAACTCCTGTGTCTGTACCTCATTCCAATTCTTATCTGTCTGACATCCCATTTCCCAGTTCTGTTTCACCCTTTCCCACACCTCAAGATCATGTCTCCAACTCCCAGACCCCATCCCCCTCCGGTCCCAATCTCCCTCACTCATGCCCTCCATCTCCCTCAGGCCGTGACCCGGCCACACCGGAACAACCATTCTCGCCGAAAAACCCCAACAGTAACCCCGAGACGCCACCTAGTACACCCACCACACCGACCATGACCTCCTCACCACCTTCATCTGTCTCCACTCCCTTCCCAGATTCCTCCCTTCCCTTTATTCCCAGTCCCGACCGATCTACGTCTCCATCTGACCATTCGGCCACCGCCTCACCAGCTCCGTCTTTACCGCCTTCTAGTCAGTCCACTCCGGGAGCTAATATCCACCCCATGCAGACCCGAGCTAAAGACGGTATTTTTAAACCCAAATTAATTTTTAGTTTAAATGCAAATATTATTAGCACTGATCCTACTTGTTTTACTGAGGCTAATAAACATTTACACTGGAGAGAGGCTATGGCTGAGGAGTTTAATGCACTTATTACTAACCGTATTTGGGATCTTGTTCCGTTCGACAATTCTAAAAATATAGTTGGGTGTAAGTGGATTTATAAAACGAAATACAATGCGGATGGCTCCGTGGAGCGCCATAAAGCTAGATTAGTAGCTCAGGGTTTTAATCAGCAGGCGGGTGTAGATTTTTCTGAAACATTTAGTCCTGTCATTAAACCTACTACTGTACGCATTGTTCTCACTTTAGTTATTTCTTTTGGTTGGGTGGTCCGTCAACTTGATGTCAAAAATGCCTTTTTACACGGTCATCTGACTGAAGAAGTTTATATGCGTCAACCTCGTGACTTTATTCATCCTCAGTTTCCTAATCACATGTGTCGCTTGCGCAAGGCCATTTATGGTCTTAAACAGGCACCACGGGCATGGTTTCATAGATTTAGTAGTTTTCTTCTTCAGCAGAGTTTTTCATGCAGTAAGTCTGATCATTCACTATTTATTTATCGCCATAATAATTCTATCATTTATTTATTATTATATGTAGATGATATTATTATTACTGGTAACTCTGAGACTGCTGTTTCTCATTTTATTTCCATTATTTCTCGCCAATTTGTCATGAAAGATCTTGGCAATTTACATTATTTCCTTGGGGTCGAAGCTACTCGTTCTTCTACAGGTCTCTTTCTCTCTCAGCAAAAATATGTTACAGACCTTCTTGCTCGTTTTCATCTACATACTGTAAAATCTGTTCGTACTCCCCTTGCGTCTCGCACTACATTGACCCTCACTGATGGAGAGTTACTGACAGATTCTACTGAGTATCGCAGTATGGTAGGTGCATTACAATATTTAACTTTGACACGGCCTGATATTACTTTTGCAGTACATTTAGTGTCTCAATTTATGCATGCCCCTCGTACTACTCATCTATTTGCAGTCAAGCGTATTTTCAGATATTTACAGGGCACTCGTGATCATGGTTTGTGGCTTCAGAGATCCGCATCTCCGACTTGTGTTTTAGCATATTCTGATGCAGATTGGGCTGGTTGTCCAGATACCTCTCGGTCTACCACTGGGTTTGCCATCTTTCTGGGTCCAAACCTGATTTCCTGGAAGTCCAAGAAGCAGCCTACAGTCTCCAAGTCCTCTACTGAAGCTGAATACAGGGCCATTGCGTACACTGTTCAAGACACTTTACACATTCGGTCTGTTCTATTTGAACTCGGTTTTCCCATCACAATTCCTGTCCATTTGCTCTGTGATAATATCTCTGCTTCCTACTTGACTGCTAATCCGGTTCAACATGCTCGGAGCAAGCACATTCAGATCGATTATCATTTTGTTAGGGAAAGAGTTGCTCATGGTGATTTATTAGTTAGATATGTCCCTACTCATCTTCAGCTCGCTGATATTTTTACTAAAAGTCTCTCTAGTCAGCGTTTTCATTTTTTAAAAGACAACCTGCGCGTTGTATCTCCCGCACAGTTTGAGGGGGTGTAATAGACTAGGGCCATTTATGTACTTTACACATTATTTACTATTATAAATAAACTTGCCAGGGCTCCTAAAGGGGTAACCTGTTCCATTATCTCACAGTAAGAAGGGGTCAGATGTATGCAATCTTACCCCTTTTTAGCATAGAGAGAGAGAGTGTTTCTGAATGACTCATGGTGAAAATTGCGTCAAAAATTGGATGAATTGACTGCTGCTTCATAACAAAGAAGTGCAGCCAGTTTAGTAAATCATTTTGCTTTATTCCATCATATTCCCAAGCCAAAAAAAATAGTAATTTGCTAGTCTGGTCTGGTCTGAACTGGTCTGGTCTGGTCTGGTAAGGTCTGGCTTCTTTGTATTTTTAAAACTATCCAAGTCTGGTCTGGTCTGGTCTGAACTGGTCTGGTCTGGTCTGGACTGGTCTGGTCTGGTCTGGGACAAATTACAGTCCAAGTAAAAACATCCTAAACATGAGAGTAGTGATGGACCCGGGCCGGGCTGGGGCCGGGTCAGGCCTAGGCCCGAGCGGGCCGGCGGTTCAGGATTGGTGGACCCGGGACCGGCCCGGGTAGCCACCGGACCGGGTCTAGGCCTTTTTTTTTTTTTGCTTTCCTAAACCCCCTCACCCCCCCCCCCCCCAAACCCCCCAAACCTCCCCTAACCATCAAGCCCAACCCGGGTGGAACCCCAAAAAATTAAAAATTAAAAAAAAAAAATCAATTTGGCCCGGACCCGGGCCCAACCCGGACCCGAGAACCGGGCTAGTCCCGGTCCCGCACAGTAGCGGGCCGGGCCGGGTGGCCCGACCCGAGTCCACCACTACATGAGAGTTATAACAAGTAACAACAAAACTAATTAGAGGAGCGTATAGGTTGATAATTCCATGGTTGAGTTTTACGTTGACGCAAAACTTTCCTTTCTTGGAGTCTGATAATTCTGATTAGCACATGGTTCACCACGTTTAACTTAAACTTATTCTTTACTACCCCATCCCTAAAAGAGCGTTATGGTTATAGCAACGTATCAATTGCCATAGATAATATTTTCGACTCATATTTTACGAATGTTTACAATCTTTTTTTCTTCCTCAAGTGCTAGCTCCATCGCTTAGCAAAAGTTAGTTATCTTAAGATGATCCTAATCGTATATTACTGGGTTGTTTCGTTTTGTTTAATGCATTTTCGTTGTTGTTTATGTGCACTTATTATTTTTATTTCCGCTTGAATAATTGAGGCATATTGACTTTGCACAATTGCACCACCTATATACGTTGGTTTCTTTGTTTTTGCACCTCGGATGAGGTACAAAGTGAAATCCCACGATAAATGTGATGCAAATATGAATTACACTTTACAACTCGTGTTTAATATTTCAGTTTGCACCCCATTTAGGGATATGATTAAAGTTAAACAAAACAAAACATGGATGCAAAATCAAATTGTGAGATAGCCCATCCGGTGGTTTGCTAAGTTTATTTGAATTACTGATAACTGATCAATGAGTTTGTGGATGTGATCAATGAGTATGTAATTTAATTCCCTGGTTCAATTTCTCGAAGGTTATTCACTTAAATTCTTTTTTTTTATAGAAAATTTACTTAAATTCACTGTGGGACATATGGTTTCCCCCAATTCTGTCTGTCATAGGATTAATGTTTTCCTTAAAAAAATGTTACGTTAAGTTAGATAATGGGTAACAACTGTTTTAGCCAAATAAATACGAAGTAAGTCAATAGCTACTTAGAAATTTTTATATTCATCTTATTCTTATTTAATCTAATAATCCGAGTATCATACTAGTTTGATAGAACTCATTCAAACATAAGATCATAGAAGAGACATGACATATTTCGTATTAATACTACGTATATGGTTAAGCCAAAAGTAAATACTCAAATCAAATTAAACAAGAAAACACATAACCTATTTAAAAAAACTCGTATAAAATTATATATTGCGAGCCAAAAGTATCAAGCTCTTAGTGTTTTATTTGGTCGCAATTTTTTTGACTTTCTTACCAATTCCTTTTTTACTTTCTCACCTCATAATGAATTACGGAGTATATAATTGTCCGTGTTGAATTAGTTATTAAAGAAAAAGTGGGCTTGTAGCCTTATAAACTGTGGCAGATGCAAATATGCAATGGCGGACACAAAGTCACAAAGGGGGGCAAGTGGGGATGGCAATTCAAACATTTTTTTTAGTAGGTATGATTACTTCAAAATTTTAATGTACTTTTTTTTGTTTTTTTTTGGATGAAATGTAAATTATATTAACACCCGAGCAAAATCCAAACATATACAATGTGTCCAATAATCTAAAAGTCCCCCACCCCCTCCTATTTCGTGAGAAAAGGAGAGGGTTAGGAGACTTTTTTATCTAGACTAAGTCCATCTTGACCAATACGCAAAAGTATGCGGCCAAATAAGTCAAACATCAAAACTATGATGGTGCTGCAATGGTGCACGCACAATGGTGCAAATAAGTCGCACATGCCTTGGCTACCAAAAACTCCTTGACTCCACTTCAAAAATGGATCAAGTCATGTGGGTAGATACTAAAGAGTATTTTGTAAACCACATGCTTGATCTTAGAAACAACGTCATCTTCAGTCTTCGTTACTTCTTCAAATCTTACTTTGTTTCTAGCTTGCCAAATGTAATATGCCGCGGCACAGAATGTAAGCCTCCCAGCCTTGGCCTTTATCGTTGCTCCTTTGCGTGTCTTGGTGATCCACTTGATTGCACTGAGGAGCGTAGTCATTTGATGCCCAAGTCCTATCCATGCTCGAACTCTGTCCCATACCCTACAAGAAAAAGGGCAACGGAAAAAGAGGTGTGGAATTGTCTCCAATCCACCCTTGCATAAGTCACACCTATTTACTATGTGTAAATAACTGAGGCTATCCTGGGTAGGAAGCCGGTTTCTCAAAGACAACCAAACGTTGAACGAGAATTTGGGAGGGATATAGGATTTCCAAATGAAACTCATTGGAGTCCTAGGGATCCCTTTAACTCTAAGGAGTTCATAAATCTTGCCCGATATTAATTTCCCATTGATGCTCCTAGCATTAAGTCCCATGATGGTTTCATTTAAGTTATTAAAACAACCTCGAATTTTGTCTTGAATTTGGCCCAACCTCTTCATGAGTTGCGAGTCCCGGTCGTGTGGGATGAAGTTCCACACACTTTGTCCACGAAGATATATGCCATTGACCCACCGGACTCATAAAGTATCCTTCTTTTTGTGGACGTCCCATAGCGTACGAGAAAGGAGGCTATCATTCCAGGTTTTAGCATTGTGTATGCCGAGCCCCCTTCCTCTTTTGGGAGACAAATGTCATCCCAAGCTACTTTCGAAAACTTTCCACCCCACAAAAAGATCCTACAAATGGACACTATCCTATCCAAAACGATTTGGGGAACCGAAAAAATTTGGAGCCAAAATGATTGGACCCCTTGGATCACAGATCGTATTAGCTCGATTTTCCCAGCATAGCTTAGGATAGTGAATTCGTATTCCATGCTTTCAAAAAATCATTTACCATATCAAGTAAAGGCGCATATTGAGCCACCGAGATCCTAAGAGGGGCAAGAGGAATTCCGAGGTACCTTACTGGGAATGTTCCTTGTCCATAGTCAACCAAATCCAAAATATTTTGCAGCTCATAGTCCCTCACCCCCCAATGAAAATCTTAGATTTTTCATGGTTCACCCTAAGGCCAGATGCATCCCCAAACTCTTTGAGAGCATTGACCAATATTTCATGGTGTACTTTTATCTATTACGCACGAGTAGTATTTTACACTACCACCTCTCCATTCGGAAATTATCGTCTTCCACAGGCCAGATCCAATCTCATTCAAAATTACTCATATGAGTACTCTATCCACTCTCAAAATCGAAAGGGATGTAAATTACTCAACTGAGGCCTCATCCTTGAGAACCCCCTAGCACCAGCCCAACAAATAGGTGAAGTGATGTAAATTGATCTTGAATTACAAGTTGACAGATAGCGAGAAAGACTATGTGTCTCATGTACTTGGATAGACCCTATGCATTTTTAATAATAACTTCTCATCCCAGTTGTCGGGTTCGAACGCGAGACTTACCCTGTGTGACACCTCTAGAAAGATACATGTCTAGAACTACTATCATAACTATTTGCACTTTTGAAAGATACAAATTAGAAGCCGTTTGGTAACATTGTTTTTCGACTTATCGGGCTTATCAGTCAACCTTTTCACCAAACACGTCATTTTTGTTTGCACGTGCTGAATTGTGTAATAAGCAGAAAAAGTAAGGTTGAAGTTACTTTTCTGGCTGTATTGGCTAAAGTTACTGTAGATGACTAGTTTAGGTATTTTTACATATAATTTTTTCTTTATTTTATTAATAAAATATATTTTAAAAATAATTTTTTCTTAAATCAGCAGAATCAACCAATACACCCACTTCAGCCAAAACTTCATAAATTTCACAAATGTCTAGCACAAGATAATTTTCTTAAATAAAAGTACAATATAACCCCCCCCCCCCCCCCCAAATGTCATTCACAAATCATACTAACATATTATGATTTTATCTTACATTGATTTTCTATTTTGGAAAAAATATAATCTGTAGTACTGAAAAAAGATTTGTAGTGAGCATGCATTTTAAAATGAGAACATCTTATAATGAAAACTTTTAATCTATCTCAATTCTCAACCCTTCATTTATTCTTATCCATTTCTATAGACATGATACCATTTCTATAACTATTTAAAATTCAATTACGGTCCATTTTGTAATTATTGTAAAATAATTACAAAACTACTACATTGTCAAATCCTAATCGTTGATTAGAAAAATATAAACGGTGAAGATTAAGCTCTCTTTCCTAAATGTATTCTCGTTTTAAAAGAGTTTTCACTAAACTCGATCTTCCCTTGATACTAATATATATTTCTATTTACGATAACTTCTTTAAACTTTCTCACATTTAACTTCATTCAACAGTTTTCGTTTTAGGTATAGATATATCGTTTTAATTTGCTTCGAGTAGAATAAATAAAACAAATTGGGTGAGTCCAGTTACCAAAGGGATTTAATAGTTCAGCAATCATATTTGGTTTTGTGTACACGCTTCACATATTTTATTTGTATCACAAACATTTAATGCAATGTTACAGTTTTTTTTATTTGTATCACAAACATTTAATGCAATGTTACAGTTTTTTTGTGTGTGTATTTTTCTGTCATGACAGTGACAAATTACCTGATAAACACAACAAAATGTACAAAGATGTAGTGTATATGCTTAGCATTTTTGATAGTTTAATACACAAAATTCGCAAGATCAAATCAAATAGGCCAATAGCTAGGCACCAACGGTATCACATAAAAACAATATACGAAGTATTTAGTCAATCGGGAATGATCAAAGAGAAGAAAGCCGGGAATGAAGAATTCAAGTTAAGGCGGCAAAGCCGCCGCCCTTCATCATCTGCCGGAACTCATCATAATTCACCATACCGTCCCCGTCGACGTCCACCTTCGCGATCATCTTCCGGCAATCCTCCACCGTCCTCCCCTGCTTCAACCCTAGCGACACCAGCACGGATCTCAACTCCTCCACCGTTATGAAGCCGTCGCCGTTCTGATCGAACACGTTGAACGCCTCCCTCATCTCCTCCTCCTCCTCCCCGCCCTCCCCGTCCCTCATCTCCTCCATCAACGCCCCGTACAGCGTCCCGAACTCCTCCATGTCCACGTACCCGTCGCCGTTCACGTCGATCTTCTCCACCATCTGAATCACCTCCTTCTCCGGTATGTGGATGTTGAGCTTCTCTAGCGACTCGCTTAGCTCCTTCCTCGTTATCTTCCCGTCACCGTTCCGGTCGAACATGTGGAACACCCGACGTAGCTCCGCCGGATCCATTTCCATTCCACCACAGAAATCGCCGGCAGCCACAAATTGAATGAGGATCGGATCTCTCAAATTGATTTGGGAATTGGAGAGGTAGCAATCAGTAGATAATGGCGACGAGAGTGAATTGAATTGAAGACGAATGAGAAGACCGAATCTTCTCAAATTATTGATTAATAAATTTGCTTGGAAAGGGATCGCAGGAACAGAAAAACAGAAACTTTGATTGATAGGAAAGAGTGAATAGATATATAGAGAGGGGAAAGGATGAATGGAGAATGAGGGGTGCTGGTAATGGGAGGGCACCAATTCTGTGTGTGCTTTAGAATATTGTTATAATCAAGTCCAATGAAAATGGGAGGTGTTCATGCTAAGCAAGAGAGGAATGAAGGGTTGAGGTAATGAAGGGCTCACATTTCATGATTAGACTTGATTTGTGTACTGTTTTGTTGATTCTTACACATTGGATCATTTTCTTTAGCGTGAAGCAATGGACAAACTTTCAAATGCTTTACCCAAAATTCCTCCATCTTAAAAGAGAATCATAAAAGAGATAATTTTACAAAAAAATAAAAAACCAAGCATTTATTCCTTTCTGTCCCGCTAAAGTTGTCTCATCAGCTCATCTTTCATTTTTAGTTTGTCATATTAAAATTGTATCGTACCAAATTATTTGGTAAAGTTTGTAATTCTAAATCATTCTTATCCCATTTTTACTTTATCAATTTTATCAGTCATCTTTTTCGCCAAATACTAAGTTTTGATTCCAAGCGCAGAGTTTTGTAATAGTCAAATTAAGTAGGTTGAATTCTGGCTATATTGACTGAATTTACTTTAAAAGATCATTTTAGCTATTTTTCAATGTTTTTTCTTTTTTATTAATAAAGTTTATGTTAAATACGAGTATAATTTTTCACAATTCAACAAATTCGGTCAATATAATCAATTAAGTCAAAATTTCATACATTTAAGTATTTAATATCAACAATTTAAACTCACTTTTCTTAATAATCACATTTCTTCCTCATATTTCAGTGTTAATGGCGGAGGTGATATGATTTTACAATGAAATCATATATAATAATACCCATTATTATAACAATATTATAGTGGAAGACTTCACCACTAGAAATAATAATTAATGACCATAATGTTGTCACATATGACTAAAATTTCTCTAAAACCATTTGGAGAACTGAAACTGGCAGTTTCAGTTTAGTAAAGTAAACTGTAAACCATTTTACTGTTTTACTTTAGTTTAGTAAAGTAAAATGTAAACCACCTACTTGGCTACTTCAATTGTAATAGGCTTAAGAAGACATTGAATATGAGATTTCATACTGTTTCAGACTGATGTATACTAATATAAAAAGGGAAACCAAAACAATAACTGTTTCCGTCTCAAATTTACAAATGTTCAATGTTAGTTCCCAACGATGCATAAACCGGTGCTTCCTGATTTCTAGCTTTGGTAACTGTTGGGCCGCATTATTTGACCATCACATATTTTCACTCTCATAAAACATTTATTTCTTCTCCGCGATATTGCCCTTAGTGTGGTTACTTTCATTGTCTTATACAATTTCAAACTGTTTTGGATGCATTTACAATCACGTTCACACATGTTTGATTTCATCTATTTATCATTGAGATTTGAGATGAATAATTCCACTATATATGGAGTTTGAAGATTTGGTTGTCCATGACTCCATGACCAATAATAGAAGTACCCTGCAAAAAAAAAATCAAAAGTAGTTTGAGATAAATGTATCTTCAATTCTTCATAAATTTACATGTATGCACTTAATGTTCATGGAATGTTGAAAATAAGATTTCTTCAAATCTCATGTGTGGCAGGGCATGATACATCTGATGCATAATAGTAGATAGTGTAGTAGATTTAAATTTCAGCGTAATAATATGCTTAAACAAAATATAAACATGTTGGCTTATAATTTTACTTCTGATTTCTATATCAGTTTTCGCTTTCCATTCTTTATTTGAAATGAATAATATTATACATTGTCTCAAGGAAAATATTACTCCAGTATTATTCACTACCTATGTCCCTAAATAAAAGTTCATCTTTCTTATTTTGGTCGTCCCTAATAAAAGTCTCATTTCCTTTTTTGACAAACAAAACAGTGTCGAGCAATGTTAAATAGTACCAAACGATCACACTTTCTTAAATTGTGTGTAAAATGAATGAGGGCTTTTATATAGGGACAGAGTCACGGAGGAGTATTTATCTTATAAATAAATTAATGAATTAGAAGCATCTTCATTGCTTTCTTAAAAACTATGTCAAATCAAAAGGAAACTTGAATGAGGGACGAATCAGTTATCAGTGGAAGCATATCATTAAAACTTAAAAGTAAGCTCAAATCAGACTCATCTTCAACCCACGGATCTCACTAGTCTAATGCAAGCAAACATGCTGGTTTCCTTCTCCCAACAGTGCAACTGTGCAAGCACTAATAGTTTGGTCTGCAACCTATCTAACTCCAAGAAAATATTCTACTCTCCAGTTTAATGGTCCGAACTAGGGAATATAGGAAAAGAAAGTCGGGGGAAAGTAAAGGAGAAATCTGAAATAAAGTGCAAGAAAAAGTAAAACATTTGTTCAATCTCACTAAATGTAGAGACTTTTTATAAAATATTGCTTATATATAATGTATGGATAAAAGTGTAATTAATGTTACTATAAGCATATCTTATGAACATAATTATGGTCATACTGCTGAAATTATGGCAACTACATATAAAGAATAGTTACCGTGTCTCTCCACTATCTTTATTTTAATTATATACATTAGTCATTACTTCTTAAATCTATCTTTGACATTTGACCAAATTCACCTTATTTGTTTGTTGCTATTGCATTATTAAGACTAAGAAAGTAAGAAGCCTAGACATGTAGAAAAATATAAACACTACTTACATTTCCATTTTCTAGTAAAACCAAACACAATAAATTAACTTCCCTTGCCGTTTTTCATGATCCAAACATACCCTGTTATATCTAGAAATTTATAAATATAACTTTAACCAGCGGTTAAATGATTCCAGAAAACGTCTGTGCCAAACACTGGGAAGTCAGAAAATATCAAAGCATAAGGTTCTATGACTTTATGATTGTTTCTTTCATTAATAGCAAGAGTCATGGCAAACCACGATTTCCGTAGAAATTAATAAAGCCAGTACACTGGAAAAAAAAATAAGAATTATTCGTATATATTGTCATAATCTTGTTCCTCTATATGTAATTATGTAGTATCTGATGCTTCAGATGCTAATTCCCTCGAGCCAGCGAGTATAAAATGTTAAAGCTTCCTGTGGTTTGTATTCTGGGACAGTGTGTCCCGCACCCTGAAACATGAGCGTGTATCAATCCCACAGTAACAAATTAAGATAAAAAATGTACTGCTTTGTTTGGTGATGCTTTATGTTTTTTTGTTCGAGGAAAATACAATTATGAAAAGGGACTTGACAGTGGTACTTTTGTTTCCACTTTCCAGTTTCTCAAAAGAAATTAGTAGATTTTCAAGCTTAATGCCTTAATGGAAACATGAATTTTCATTGTTTTCAAAACAATGTGTTTTATTTTGACAATGTTTACAAAACATTTAGAATTTTGAATAAAAATATGTTATTTTATAAAAATGAATAATAGTCCATATAAATCACATATACAAAACAAAAATTTTATGAGATCCTATATGATTCCGCTATAAAGCCATATGGTTTAGTTGGCTAATTGGCTTCATGATGGCCACTCATATTTTATTGAATTAATAATTGGTGACCGCGTTATGAAAATAACTAAATAAGGACCATGGTGAAGCCACATAAGCCATTTGACCCACAGTGAAAGCATATATGTTTCCATATAATTACCCTATACAAATCAGACTAGCAAAGTGATAGGGTGCTGAAATATAAGAGGCGCAAGAAACGAGGACCAATTGTTGACTGAGTCTTCATTTATTTATTAATTATTGTTTATTTGTTTAAATGAGTCAGTTGAAGAAATAAGTGGGGTTTGGTGTCATGCATCAGTCCACTAGGGTAGTTATTAGATCATGGGGTAGTTACTAGATCATGGATGAAGTCAGTTTACATCAGTTGTGTGAGTCAGTTTTAGACAGTTAGTAGTCAGTTGTATTTCTCTCTTTAAATAGCCTAGCCATATTCAAGCTAGGTATGCATGAATCAATATCAGTTTTAGACATGGAGATTCTCCCTTGGCTTCTACAATCACTCATTTGTGAGATACTTACTGTGAGAAGAGAGTAGGAGAGTTTAAATCATTCCATATCTTTCCTTTTAATTTCTGATCTTACCATTTTGGTATGAGAGAACACGTTCTGATCAACCATGGTGACCACACGCTCTTCCGCTGGCGACAACCCTGGAGACATTGACCCATTGGCGGCAATTGCTGCTAAGCTAGACTTGCTGGATGAATTGCGAGAGAAGATTTCGGCTCTGGAGGTTCAGTCGCAGGAGCACAAAGGAAAGAAAAAGAGGAACTGGGCTGACAACATGGATGAAGAGGAGGGAATTCATAGACCTCGTCCTCCATTTGCAAAGCTTGATTTTCCAAAATTCAGCGGCGGCGACCCAAGAGGGTGGGTGCTAAAGGCTGAAAAATTCTTCAAATACTACGCGATTTCGGAGGATGATCGAGTGGAAGTGGCTGCAATGCATCTAGAAGGTGACGCTTTGGATTTGTTCTCCTGGGTAAACACTGAACGCACACTGCTCTACTGGGATGAACTGGTGCGTACATTCAATGAACATTTTGGGCCGCCGGAGTACTTGACGAACATCTATGCAACATCCACCAGACGGGTAGCATACATGAATATCGGCAAGACTGGGCACGTCGAGTAGCACGTGTCACCAACTGGCCGGAGCATTGCCTCCTTGGAGTTTTCTTAAATGGACTCCGTGAAGACATCCGATCAGAGGTGAGGATACACAAGCCCAGGTCCGTGTACAGAGCTGCCAGTTTAGCCCTGGAGTTTAAGAAGAAATTGGCCCAAACGAAGGAAATCAGGCCCAATTCGTATTCCTCTCAGAATACGTCTGTTTCCAGCTTTACTCCCATTAGTGCTACATGTGCACGTGATCAGGAGCCATTACCTGGGAATTCCAGCACAGCCTCTTATTCATCACCCTCCAAAGCAGCCTTGTCGCTCCCTTCTCCCGCTCGTTCATGGGATGCAACAAAACAACAACGTCGCGACAAAGGGTTGTGTTTCCGATGTGGGGACCCGTTCCGACCAGGCCACCGCTGTTCTACTACGTTCTCGCTGTTGGAAGTTGTAGAGGACGAGAATTCAATGCCAAGCTCGTTGGAATTAACCGAAGACACAAAACAGGAACCAACCGTAGATGCCGAGATTTCTTTCAATGCCATCCTAGACAAACCAACATCAACAACAATGAAACTGTGTGGCTTACTGGCTAACAAAGAAGTATTGTTGTTAGTGGATAGTGGCTCAAGTCACAATTTCATATCAGATTCACTGGTAAGGGAACTTGACTTGGCAACCTCCTCTACTCAGACAATTGGAGTTCAGCTTGGAGACGGTCATATTGTGCGTTGCAACTGTGTGTGCAAGGAAGTTTCAGTACAACTTCCAGGTTTGAC